AAATGTTTTGACACCTAAAACNCCNTAAACACTCAAAACTAAACNCTAATATAACATAGTTAACCCAAACATAAATTATATNATGAAAAATAATTTTGAAAAAGTGGCATTTTTTAAAGATTTCAAAAGTGTGGCATTTTTGTAAAGTGACACTTGAAAAATGACATTTTTTGAAATTTCTCAAATTCTTTTAACCTGTGTTGGAACGAAATTAATGTGATTAATTGGGAGTTTTTGTGAAAGGAAAAAGACCAATTGATATAATTTTCACAATCTTTATATCTCATTATATAAAAAGTAGATTTTCAATCTTACCGAAAAACAGCAATACAGAAAGATATATAATTAATTTAAAACTATATAAATCGCATGCACCGCGTATCTTATGTAATTTGTACTCCTGTCCATTTTCTTTTCTTGCTGAATGGTTATCTTTAAATAAATCAAATTTTAATGAAATCCAAAATGATTCTAATATACATATGTTGTCTACTAGTTTGTGCTAGATTCATCAGTGTTATCATCATAGTTCAATTACACATGATGCATATTGTTGAGAAATAAAAAAGTTCATGAAATTTAAAATGAATAAAATCTTAATATAAATTTCATGTGTCTAGATTAGTTGATGGAAGATGTAAGGTAAAAGCTTTGGATATTCTGTTGGCAATGGATACATGGTTATGAGGAAACAGTATGGAGAAAAACATAGTACAACTACAACATACGTATAGTTTTGTAGAAAATAATATATTAGAAAAGTAATATGGACGAAATATACTAAAGTCTCTTTGAAATTCTCAAATGATTACAAAATCAGAAAATCTCGTTTGCCTTTAACGTACGGTTAGGTTTTTATGCATTTGAATTTTAGTGTCAGAATCTTCTAAGCTATCACATATATTAGAATCCCATTCACTATGCCAATTGCAAAACTGAGATTTTTTTAAAAAAACAAGTCAATTCATTTAATGAATAGGACTTTCTATAAAAGTTTTAAGAAAATAAAAATAATAACTACAAATTA